AATATGCCATGATTAAAAGTCACGCGATCTCATGTATTTGTAATCCTATTTTTTTTCCCTAAACACTTATCCCCTGTTTGACAATTATTATTTTCAAACTCTTTTTTCTACATACTCATTTTCAGGAGGTAAACCGCGAGTTATGTCTTTGTTGGCTCTCAGGTTCCCTCAACGACTCTTCCTTGTTTTTTAACTACACATCCTACTATCTTTAAAAGACTCGAGTTTCAAATCACTGTTCCTAACATGTTCATGGGGAAGGCATATATCACTGTTCACAAGTCGAGCCGTCGTGTATCCGTTGAAGCCGAGTGAACGACTGACAAAAACGCTTGGCTTTCCATTTTCTCTGTCCTCCTAACCCTAATTGCTCTCGCTGTCGCTCTCTCTTCTCTCTCGACAATCATCCTACTATCTGCCTTCGTCCGGACGCTTCTATCAAATTCAACTCTCTCCGAAGTCCAATCCAAATCCCATCTCTCCAAAGTCCACTCCAAATTCCTAATCGTGAACTGAAACTGAAACCGCAAACCTTACCCTTACTAAATTCCTAATTTCATTCATTGATTGATTCCATGATTTCCATTCGAAATCGAAGGTCGAAGCAGAGGCAGCACCGCAGCAGTTGCTACCCACGCAGTGACTCCACGGTGATTTGTGATTTTGTAATTTATGATAAATAGGTTTAGGGATTTTAACAGTTNATTATTTTTTATCTAAATCAAACAAGAACTATAAAATATGCCATGATTAAAAGTCACGCGATCTCATGTATTTGTAATCCTATTTTTTTTCCCTAAACACTTATCCCCTGTTTGACAATTATTATTTTCAAACTATTTTTTCTACATACTCATTTTCAGGAGGTAAACCGCGGGTTATACCCTTGTTGGCTCCCAGGTTCCCTCAGCGACTCTTCCTTATTTTTTAACTACACATCCTACTATCTTTAAAAGACTCGAGTTTCAAATCACTGTTCCTAACATGTTCATGGGGAAGGCGTATATCACTGTTCACAAGTCGAGCCGTCGTATATTCGTTGAAGCCGAGTGAACGACTGACAAAAACCCTTGGCTTTCCATTTTCTGTGTCCTCCTAACCTTAATTGCTCTCGTTGTCGCTCTCTCTTCTCTCTCGAAAATCATCCTACTATCTGCCTTCGTCCGGACGCTCCTATCAAATTCAACTCTCTCCAAAGTCCAATCCAAATCTAGCTCTCTCCGAAGTCCAATCCAAATTCCAAATCGTGAACTGAAACTGAAACCGCAAACCCTACCCTTCCTAAATTCCTAATTCCATTCATTGATTGATTCCATGATTTCCATTCGAAATCGAAGGCCGAAGCAGAGGCAGCACCGCAACGGCTGCTACCCACGCAGTGACTCCACGGTGATTTGTGATTTTGTAATTTATGATAAATAGGTTTAGGGATTTTAACAGTT